ATCCACAGCCAGGGATATGAAATCAGCCTTCCTCAGTTGATTAAAAAGAGTGTCAAAAACATCCGTAGCTAAAACGTCCACCCTTCTCGCAGCTGTTGTATCGGACAGCGGGATTGATTTAATCGAAGATATAACTTGCTCTTTCACTTTTTCATCCGTTACCACCTCCTCGACAGCAGCTTGTATGCATTCTTTTACTGTTTCAGCATCTGTAAATGGTCTTTTATTTTTAGTCAGTATCCATGCAATTCGGAGAGATGCTGTTGTACAGTAGCTTTCTGCTGCAAAGTGCAGGTTCGGGTGAAAACCACACAACTTTGCTGGTAGTTTTGTGTCAGTGTCTTTATTTTTGTCCGTCGAGCCTCTGAGCCCGGGGGATATTCATTATCAAAGTTACTGTGAGTCGTCTTGAAGTGCCTCCGCACATTGTATTCTTTATTTACCGAGCATATGACAAGACAGACAAGGCACATGGGTTTTCCCTCAGCATTTTGTATGTGTGCATACTTATCAGTCCACTCGTTGTTAAATTTTCTATTTTCGCTGTCAACCTTACGTCTTTTCTCTTTTGAATGCGACATGTTCCCGCTGTTGTAAACTGTCATAAACCTTCAATCAAGAGCGTAAACAGCTGTGCGACGTCCCGTAAAATGTTATAAACTGTTGCGCTTACAGTTAAATTGCAGCTATTTAATAAATAAGAGGTAGTCAGCAGGCCGGTCCAAAATGACTGATGGGCCGGTTTTGGCCCGTGGGCCGCCTATTGAATAGGGCTGTTGTAGCATATGATGAGGAACCCTGACTTTAGTCCTTTGGCAACAAAAAAAAACAACAAAAATGGACCGAGTGAGTTTTGGAAATTTGCTCTTCGTTTGTCTGTCTGTAGATCTGTCCATCCAGGATTTAATTTACCATAAAGACCTCCGTGGGACTCAGCTGTAATAAGACCAGCAACTGTTGTGAACATAAGGGGTCTGACTGGGTGTGAGAGTGTGTTAACCGGAGTCCTCCTCACTCCCCCCGGTTCCACAGGGCTGCTCTCTCCTCCCAGGCCACGCACCCCAACATGCGGACCTATTACTTCTGCACGGATACGGCCAAAGACATGGAGTCATGGATGAAGGTGATGACGGATGCTGCCCTGGTGCACACGGAACCAGTCCGGAGGTACGTGCTTCCCTCTCCCTCTGGGGGGCGCTGGCCTTTCTCCCAGGGCCCTGGGCTGTACGCTTGCAGAGTGCATCGAGAATGTCCTGGAAACGTCAGTCACGAGGAGTTCGCCCCAGGGACACTGGGGGCCATGCCATCCTTGACGTCTCGCTTTCTGGAATAATCCCCAGTACGCTGCAGAACCTCTCAGCACTGCCTGACTTACACAGGCACAAGTGGAAAACATCCCACATCCGCCACAATGATATTTTTAATCCCGCTTTGTTGTGGGGTCAGTAATTTTCAGCGGAGCTCTATTTCGGCTCAATACACTTAGTCATCTTGTTGCTGGTCCCCAAGCAACGTTACCTACCCCCCCCCCCCCCCCAGAAAACACTACTGCAGCACAGTTCTGCCACTTCACTTAGTGTGGGGTGTGTAGCCCCTGGTAAGATGATGAGGTAATGCCTGAGGTTCTGGTTCTGGTTTGGCTGCTGTGACCGCAGACTGGGAACTCCATTAAGTGACGTGGATTGCAATATGTGACCCATTTCTGTGTGGCGAGTGGTGGGGGATAACCTTGTCTCCAGTCTTGGGCGCCCCCTCGGTCATGTATGTGTTGTGTGTGTGTGTGTGTGTGTGTGTTGGTGTTGGTGTCTGCATGTGTGTGTGTGTATACACGCTCTCTAGGCTAATGAACAGAGCATGTTTTCTGCTGGATTTACAGTCTGCTGTTGGGTCCAAACCCGGCTTGGAAGCAGTTATTCAGGTTGGAAGAGTGGCTTGTGTTGCCCCGCTCTTTCAGGAGGCCTGAGACTGTCTTGCTTGTGTGATACAGGACAGGCTTTGATGCTTGGAATGCTTGATGACTGTCCCACCTGTGTGATAGGGAATGGGGTCAGACTCGGGGAGTACCGGATGACTGTCCCGTGTCTGTGATAGCGAATGGGGTCAGACCCAGGGAGTACCGGATGACTGTCCCGTGTCTGTGATAGCGAATGGGGTCAGACCCAGGGAGTACCGGATAACTGTCCCGCCTGTGTGATAGGGAATTGGGTCAGACTCGCGCAGTGCCGGATGACTATCCTGCATGTGTCATACCGGACGGGGTCGGATTCCTGCAGTGCCAGGTGATTATCCCGCATGTGTGATACCGTATGGGTTCGGACTCACACAGTGCCGGATGACTATCCTGCATGTGTCATACCGGACGAGGTCGGATTCCTGCAGTGCCAGGTGATTATCCCGCATGTGTGATACCGTATGGGTTCGGACTCACACAGTGCCCGATGACTATCCCACGAGTGTGATACCGTATGGGGTCAGACTTATGCAGTGCCTGTTGATGTTCCCATGTGTGTCATACCAGACGGGGTTGGATTCCTGCAGTGCCTGATGACTTTCCCATGTGTGTCATACCAGACAGCGTCAGACTCGCACAGTACCATCAGTTAAGTGGTAACTCCTGCCCCTCATCCCCAACCCCCCAGGCTGGAGAAGCTGAAACTGGAGCAGCGCCACCCGCAGGACATGAATAACGTGCTGAACCACCGGCTGCTGACCCGACCCGAGGCACACAACAATGAGCGGAACCGCGAGGTAGAGCGGCCCGAGGAGCAGCGAAGGTGTGACGCCGAGCGCTATGGCTTCCAGAAGGAGCAGGCAGAGCGGGCTCTGACCAAGATCAACAGCGTCAGGCTGCAGCCCCTCCTGGCTGATGGCGGCAGACAGCAGAGGGCACCACAGGTGAACGGCTCTGGGGACAGGACTGTGGACTGCGGCACAGGGGAGCTGGGCGATGGGCCGACACAAAGGGGGTGCAGCCAGGACCCCCAGCACGAGCCACAGCAAGTCCTGCAAAGGACCAACTCCATGCAGCAGCTGGAGCAGTGGGTCAGAACCCAGAGGGGGAGGAGCCAAGAGGAGGAGACGAGGAGGTGGGACGTGTGTGTGTGTGTGTGTGTGTGTGTCTCATCCCCACAGGCATGTATACAGGGCCAGACCCCTGCTCAGAGCTGATTGGCCCCCATAGTGTCCCCTCCCCTGTCACTTAGATTCAAAATGTGTCATTGGCTAATAAGGTTGGGCCATTCTGTCAGAACGCTGCTGTGTGTGCGCATCTGTCAGGATGGCTATGTGTGGCTGACCCGCCATGTTTGTCTGAGCGGCACAGGGTCTCATGTCTCCACCACTTCCTGACGCCTCTCCCAGCTTGTGAATAAGTACAGGCTTGCCATCTGTTATGATGCTTAATGACGGCCTCGGCTGCTCTGCCAGACTGATTGCTGCAGCGTTGTATTTTCCAGACCCCTGCTTCTTCCCTTTTCCCTCCTGGTTGCAGCTCCTGCGAGGGTTCGGCTCCCAGCATAGCGTTTGCGCAGATAGACTTGTGAGCCTGACATTTACGGGGGGGGGGGGGCATGCTCACGATCTTGGACACGCACAGATACACTGGGGGGAGCAGCCAGTCTGGGATTCGTCGGGAAGCCCGTTCAGGAATGCCTGTGGGTAATATTTTTGGGGGCACCCAAGGAAGGGGGGAAACACAGCGGGATCAAAGTGTCATTCCCATGAAAGGAAGAAACCCCCCAGGCCATCAATACCGCTCCCCTCCTCGCCAGCGTGGTGGCCGGGGTGGGCCCAGGAGCAGCGTGTAAAGATGCCCGTCTCCAGGGCGTTGTGCGGTTAGCTGGAGAGTCCGTGGCCAGGCGCAGTGTGCCTCCCATCTGCGGGTGAGCTTTAGCCGCCACTGGCACTCTATCGATTTCCCTCCCTCTCAAACCCCCACCCGCCTGATGCTTGCCTCTCAGAGCTTAACAGCTTCACTCCCTCCACATTCGTCTTGTTTTTCTTGCCCCTGCCCCAGGGATTAATGAAGGCGTAAAAAACATTAACTGTGAGACTTGCACCTAAACAGCCTAAATCCGCATCGCCCCTCTGCCTGCCTCTCGCTGATCCAATTGTCAAATGACCCGCTTGGGATTCTCAGCCCAGTGCTGTCTTCCCTCGATCGTTATCAGGGAGTTTGGCCCCATTTTCTGGGCCGCCGGCTTGGAGATCGACTCTGCTCCGTCTTGTCCTTGGGGTGTCTTTAGCCCGTCGCAAACTCACCCCTTCAAACTAGCCAGGAGTTTCAGCATCATACTGTTTGTGTTCACACCCCTGATGAGTATTTGAAGCTCGTACCTCTGAAAATACCACATTTTGTTGAAAAAGAGGGCAGCATGTGGCTCAGCGGGTTGTGATTAGAAGGTCACTGGTTCAAATCCCAGGGTCAGCAGAATGATGTCACCCTTCAGTTGAGCGAGGCTCTTAAATGCCAGTTGCTCCAGGGGCTGTCTGACCCTGCTTTGTCAAAATCGTACGTCACTTTGGATGAAAGCGTCTGCTAAATAAATATAATGTAATGTGTTTACAGCACCTGTGCTCCGGAAGGGCAGCATCCCTCTTCGGGGATATTAAGCCACTGAAGCTCATTCATTTTCTCTTGATAATTAAATTAGCATGTCTCTTTAAGCAGAAATATAATACCTGTAATTAGCTGGAGAGCTTCCTGATGAGCTATGGCCTTTTCTGAGAGTGCAGTCCAGTCGTAATGCCCCAAACCTCCCCCCCCCCCCCACAGCATCACATCATACCAGACGCTCCCGCGCAACATGCCCAGCCACCGGGCCCCAGCAACCCCCCGCTACCCTGAGGGCTACCGCACACTGCCCCGGAACAGTGTGGCGCGGCCCGACAGTGTATGCGGCATGTCGGCGTCGCTGTACGAGCGCCCCCCAGCGGCAGATAAGCGCCGCTCCATGCGTGACGACACCATGTGGCAGCTGTACGAGTGGCAGCAGCGGCAGGCCTACGGTCGGGTGCCCCTCCCCACGGTGGCCCCCTACGGCACGCTGCCCTCCCCCCGCACCATGGTGAACCTGTCGGAGCACACTGGCCACTCCATCCCGCCATCGCCCTCACATGGCTCGCTGGCCGTCTACCAGGGCTACTCGCCACTGCGCTCCTTCAACGTGGGCTCCCGCTCCGAGGTGTCCTCGCCCAGCTACCGGGGGGACCTGACCATCGAGCGGCACCACCGGGCGCACCTCACCAAGGTACCAGCGGGCCTCGGGGTGGGTCGGGCCGGCCCTCTCTCTTCCTGAGATGTGGTATATTACGGTAATGCAGTACATTACGGTATGTTGTGGTAATATGGTATATTACGGTTATATGTTATACTGTGCAGTTCATCTAAAATACCAGTATTTAAGATATACTGCTGTGTTTTGGGCAAATTATACTGTGGGGGAACCCAAGATTTCAAATTAATAGAATAACATTGTGTTTGAAAATACTGTCAAAATACCATATGAAAAATTAGATACCGCTGAAACCTACTGGATAGCACTAAATGTTTTTGCACGTGTCCCTTTAAATGGATTCACTTACCAGATACCCAGTTCAGATTGTTCTTGCTAATACAGAAGTACTCTTAAAGCCCTGAAATCCCTGCAATAAACGGCTGCAGGCTAACGTCTGCATCTTCCCCCGCCTCGTTTTCTCACACTAGACCAGCGGATAATACAAGCTCGGGAGTTTTGCCAAACGTAGTTCTCTGTTGGTGTAATTGTGCCGTTTCTTGGCTAAAAGCCCCCATCCTGTGGTCTGTTGCCTCGTCCTAAAACCGGAAAGGATAGAAGACCTTGGTGTTTACAGCCGTGTCGCGGGTGTCTGTCGGCTAAGCGGGGCGTCCCCTCGGAAAGCCCTTGCTACCTGCTGCAGCGGAAACAAGCGGCTTGCTTTGTGCGTGAGGCTTACGGATGCCTCTCACGACAGACTGCCTGAAATGGCTCTGGCTCGTTCTCTGAGTGACACACCAATTATCCAATCAGCTGCCCTGGATTATATGTTGTCATTCTCTGGATTGTATGTGCTGATTACGGACGACCTTTCTGATAATTCGGTTCCTGTTTGTGACACTTTCTGTTTCATTCTATCCAGAGCAGAAAGGAACATTATAGTAAAGTACTTTAGGACTTTATTTTAAATAGTTTTAATTAAACCATTATCAAGGTATTTCTGTGATTTTTATTTATTTTTTTTCTGTGAGTGTTCTTTGGTCAGTGCTGAGCTGTAGTCTTTGTGATTAAAGAATAAACTATTCTGAATCCTCTTCTTTGCCCCCTCAGGTTCCTAACCCTCCCATGCTGTCAGCTTTTCCTTTATTGCAGTGAGAGGGCTCTAATTTTCTGACAACCCCCCC